GCAAAGATAATTTATAATTATGGTATTTATTAACGTTACTTCATGTTCTAAATACGCGAATCCCAAGTTTACGAATTCCCTCTTTAATAAATATCATACAAATATAAGTCAAATATTTTGGAAAATGACTTGAGATGAATCCGATACATAAGATGCTTAGTACGAAAAAAAAAAAAATACGGTAACTCGTAATTTTAGGATAAAATAAACGACGCCAATTTTTCAAGTCAAAGACAATTTTTAACCAAAAAAAAAAACAAAACTATTTTACGATTAAAGAAATGTACATCATTTTTCAAGTGCGACAACAACAAAACAAACCACCTACCCAAAAAAAGGAAAAAGAAATAATTGTCCTAAATTACCGGGAACATATCGTGTCAAAAAGAGAGAGCAGTAGGATATAAAGTATTGAAGAAATTATACACGTTAATGTTTAGTAAATTTTGATAAAAGTTGATGAGATATATGGTTAAAATATTGATAAAAATTGTGGGTTTCATGCTATATATTGTTAAAATTAATAGTTAACTTGGAAAAAGATTTTTTATTAACTTTTTTTAAATAAATCAAACATGGACTAAGCTTTGTTTGGAAAGTGAATGATTGTAAGAAAGTGCTAAGAAATGTCTTAGGCTGCTGTAAGTCTAAAGAAATTTCTTTAGTCTACTTAATAATAATAATTGTGTTTTCCAGCATGCATCCAAAAGGAGACTTCCTCGTCGAGGTGCGTGGGCCAACCGGTCCCATGAGTGAGTTTGAGTTTGTTAGTTAAATGGTTCAGTGAATTTTGTCTCAAAAAAGTCTGCACGCACAGGAAAGTGCACAGGATTTTCCTGTTGAATTTCCTGCACGTATAGCATATGTTGTTTTAGGGGCGGACGCAGAATTTTTACATTGGGAGGCACAATCGAACTTGTAAAAAAATTAGTAGAAATTTTACAATCGAAAATTTACGTCCAAAAAAATCATACTCCATGTAATTTTACATCCAAAAATTTACATGGGATATGACTTTTTCGGATATAAAATTTCGGAATTTTTTGAAAATTTTCTAATAAAATTATGAAAATTATATTGAAAAATTTGTAT